AGTGTACATACAGGCAACATCATCTCCTATCAAGGCTCTGGTTTCACATGCTTATGACTTTGTACTGATTAATCTGTTAGGTTAAATTAAAGCTAAGATATTATCTTAATTAGAGCTTTTTTAGTTTGGAAGACAGGAAGAGGGAGGGATCTATATTGAAAACATTAGGCATTCTCCCAGAATGGGTGAAGAGAATGGGATAGAAAGACATTGCCTTCCTTCCATCTCCCTTCTTTTCACCGTAAGAGAAGGGATGGCTAATTTGATGGCCAATAGTCTCTATACAAAACATTCCCAGGAAAATCCTCCGGAGTCTCATCAGGCTATAAGCTTTCAGAAGAATCAGTCTAAAAGTGATCTGTGGCCACTTGGGCACCAGCTGCTGAAGCCCAGCACACTTCTGCACCCATATCTCACTCCCACTGGGCTCTGAGAACTCCTTGTAAATGTGTATTTGGGCTGCCACCACATTTCATACAGAGTGACAAGAGCTCCAAATCCCAACAGGAAAAGCAAGGAGTGAAGAAAAAAACAACACACACACACACCCCAAAAAACTGCAACCCTGTCTCCTCCTTGCCCTCTAAGCATTATTTTTATCCTCCTCAGACATGCCTTCTTGGTCTCAGCTTCATCTTTCTCCCAGTTCTACTCAGGGATCATTTGGATCTGGTCACCTCCGATTCCTCAAGTTTTGCCTCTCCTGTGCTGCCCCAGGTGAGCAGAGGGAGCAGGAGCAGCACAGGACAAAGGGCTCCTGCCCTCAGAGAGGTGCAAAGCTCTGCATTTGGCTCAGCTCACAGAAACCCGGATCTTGCTCTGAGTTACTTTACAGTTCAAAATTTCTCTATTTTATTTTTTGTCTGGGATCACCATCTTATTCAACTAAGATGTTTATCAAATACCTATATCTTTAAATATGCAGAAAGCATAATTTAATCAGCACATCAGTAATGACAGACACTGCTGGATTGTTTTGAATACACTAGGTTGGTATGAAATGGATGCCTCCATAGATCTTGCAGATTTTTGGGGTTGTTTTTTTTTTTTTTTTTTCTTTCCCTTAAATTAATACTGTGGACAATGAATGTAATACCTTAAATATGTCAGCAAATGCATGGATTTTCACTTCCCAAATTACTCCTTCCAGCCAGTGCTTCAAATAGAAAGGACTTCTTTTTTTAAACTATTTTTATTCTATTCCCATACCTGTCAGCAGATGTAAAACACATGCAAGGGAATATACAAAGTTACAGTAGTACTACTGATCTGCTTAATAACTAGTCCCAAGGAATTGCACTGTTAAATCTTCTAGAAATGAAATCTTCCTCAACAGCTCAGTTATTATGAAAAATGAGAATCCTCATAAACTATGCATCTTCTTTCCTCAGCATCTTTAGAAGCAGAGAAACTACCATGACTGAAGTCAGTTAAACCCCTTGACATTTTCCCTATTCAGTAAATGAATGAACATAGATGCTTCTCATTTTGTTTTCTAAGACTCTTGCTGCATTTCTTAAGTGCAAGCTAGATGACTCTGGGAGCTGCTTATACATAGACTAGCTAGAATAGCTCCTACAAGATCCTTGTCCAGCCAAGAACCGGGAGTACCTCCCTTCTGCAAAGGCTCATGCCCTGCTACCCCACCACTACACCACCTGAGAGCTGAAGGAACCCCTGAAAAGGGGTCTCTGAACAACTGCTTTGAATCACAGCAGCACAAGCTTCAATAAATTCACATTCAGAGCTTTACATGGGAGACAGTCACATTTTACAATCAGTTTGTGGAGTAGAGGTATGGCACAAAACTCTTCAAATGCACTCTTAAGGCCTTCTGCTAAAACCACACCACCTCCTGGGCAGAAGACTTGTATGTATTTTGGCTCACACTATCAAACTTGATTTTAATGTCCTGAAGACAACTCAGGGTATCTTTTTTTTCAGGAAGAACTTTATATTATCAGATTAATTTATTTGCAAAAACATATATAGTATGAACAAACGTTGTTTGTTAAAACCAAGATATAATTAGATTACATGTGCTGCATACTCTGCAATCAAGAACTGCTACTACATTGACCCCAAAGCAAAGAGCTAAACAACATATAAAAGTTTTTTTTAAAGTTTTGTTTTTATGAAAAGGAATCAGCAAATGAACAATAATAAAAAATCTGTCATTTTCTAGGTCAGCCCAGAGATGAAGTGATTATCTGATCTCGTAAGGCATCCAAGACAGTGAAATTGTTTTGGGCTGTTTCTCCAGTCCTCTGGGAAGCTCTTTTGTCCTCCTGTCAACAGTCCTCTCTGTGGTTCTGTTTCTCCAGCACAAGCAAATACAGGAAACAAGAAAGAAGCAAATTCTAGTTTCTGCTTCTCTCTAACCTTGACAGGGTTGGTTTTGATCTCTGTCACATTCCAAAGGAAAATGGAAAAAGTAAAAAGTACATTCATGGTCCTTAAGAAACTCTTTCATCCACTGTCAATAAGAATTGTGCACATCTATTTTCATTTGAATCTTCTCACAAAAGCTGAAAGCCAAAAGGTGAATAGTGAAGTCTGCAATCAGGCTGAACAAGCTGCTAAACAGTTAGGCCACTGCCTAGCAAGATTTCCCATTGCATTGTGCTAATCATTAAGTATAAAGACAGTAAATAATTATTAATCTCTTCTGCTTACAGGGCAAAGACAGCTATTTCTTTAAAGATTAGTTTTCCTTTAGAAATCTAAAATAATCTGTGCAGAACAAGTGATGGATTAAACTCCATTTCTTTTGTAGTTTAGTGGCATGTTCCTACTTGCACAAGCACTGAAAAAGCAAGCACGTGGGGTGATTTGACTCCATGGGCTAAAGGCTTTGCAAAACACAGAAACTTCACTTTGATATCTAATAAAATACCAGAGAATGTCACTTGTTCAAGCTCCTAGAAGCTTAACAAGATTTCAGAAAAATTTTCCAGCAGATGATCTTACATACAACTTTGTCCTCTGTTACTTTGCTGCAAAGCTGTAGTACACAGTGAGGGTCTGCAGCATCTCACAGAGGTCAGCACAGCCTCCCAGCCCAAAGCTGCAGATGGCCTCCACAAGATGAAGGTGGCCCCTGAGAATATTCTAGCTCTATTTGCCACTTAAAATCAAGAGGGAAACCCACGAACTTCATTGTATTTTAAAGAGATAAGTTCAGGTTCTTTCATAAACATTAATCTTTCACACATAATATGAATATGGTTTAGTGGCAATAACCAAACCCATTAACATATCAGAAAAAAGCACCATATGTAAATTCCCTGATCTTAGGGGACAACTCAGGGATTATATTCCAGCATATAAAGATGCAAGATTTATATTTCCCTCTAGAGATATTCCAAAATCCTATTACTGAGCCATATCTCCAAGGAGAGGAGGGGGTTTGTTTTCATTTTTTAATCAAACCTTGTTTTAATCACTCAAACAAAATGTTTTCACACCGTAATTCAGTGCAAAACCAGAATCCTGATGGAACAGGGGAACTTGGAAGAGAAAATTAAGACGGAATAAAAATGCAGGAAACAAAGGTGTGTACTTTATTACACAGATGTATGCAGAGACAGTTTGCTCCCAGAGGAAATAATCAGAAAGTTGACTTTTAAGAAGCTGGACCAGGAGACTGAATTCAGTCTTTTGGGCTGATCCAAACTTCGATGGCTGTGCTTTGCTGTTAATTCTGGTGGACTTCTGACTGTGGCTTCAGACCCATTTTGTGTTTTCCCTTTTCAGGGCAAATTTCTGCTCAGCTGCAGACATGAGTCCTGTGGAGGGGAACCTGAATATGCACATATGCTCCTTTCTGCAGAATTCAGCTGGCACTGGCTGCTTCCCAGATCCCCTGCTGTCCTCCCTGTGCAAGCCCTTACGGACTCCTGAGTCAAGTCAGGTATATGAAAGAAAGGTCACAAAGCATTCATATTCTCACCATGATTCACAAAGCATTCATATTCTCACCATGATTCAACAACCATATTCAAAAATTTAAGCCCAAATTTTAAATACTTCATAGTATTTTAAGTGCTACACTGAAATTGTTAGATACTTGGTTTAAAACAAGGATATGCCTTTGTGCTCAGCTCAAGTAAGAGCCTGTAGGGTTTCACAAAACCAGCTTAACTACAATGTTATCAGCCCACTTAAGTAGTTTCATTCTAACTCTGCTTGCCTTTAAGCACTATTCCACCACTGAATCCTTGCCAGCTTTGGTATAAAAGGAGGAAGAAGGGCAAGCTCAAGAAGAGAGAAACTGCCATAGTTTCAGCAGAGAGTGAATAATCCACATCTGCAACACATCTCTTGTGCTCAACAGCAACTCCAATTCTGCCTCTCAAAATCTGAAAATAGTTTTCAAGTCACTGAAAAAAAGAGCTCTGGAACTTCAAAGCTGAGCCATCCTTTCAGCACCAAGATGCCCTCCAGTTCCCTGAAGTTATCAGAACTCTCTAGCATTAGAGTTTCTTGACATGAGAGAAAATACAGGCTGCCAGCTGATATTCAGACATGTGCATTCACAGAAGAATGTATAACTGAGTGAGAAAAGCATACAAGCATTTTAGTCAAAAGCCTTTTCTGGTAAGCATTCAGAACAACCTGAAAATGCACTGGTTTACATTATATTTTAAAGGAATCAGCACTTCTTTTATGAGAATATTTGTCTTGGATAGGGTGAACATCAACTGATCAATACAGCACCAATCTAGACATATATTACTCTATCAATCATATCTTAAAAAGAGCAGCAGTGCTTTACATGTAATATCCAATGTAACCAATTAGTACTGCCACCCCCTGATGTTACACAAGTTCATTCCCTTAAATTGCCCAGGCAGTAAATTCTACAGTTATACATGAGAAGCTGCAAATCGATTTGCATGTAATAATAGTACCACTAAACCTTTCTTACCACTTTCAATTTTCCCCATCTGCTACCAAAGTGGAAGTTTAGGATCTATTATTCCCAGAAGGGGACTTACCCAGCTGGACATCTATAACAGTTGGCTGGTTCTCCATGGGGAACAATGGCTTAGGAGGTTTGTCTGTGAGTAAAGCTAGAAAAGAAAATGAGAAAATGTAATGGAAAAATTGAGACCAATGACTGCAAGAGAAAAGCTCTCTCATGTAAGCAATCAAATGTTTGTACACTTGATGGCATGTAAACATTTACTACAGATGCTACGCGGCCAACACGTCACCGTGTTCCGAGTGGCTGTGGTGGCCCCTGAGTCAACAGAAATGAGCTATTTCAAGAGTTAAATTCTCAATACAAAACAGCAAAACTAACTCCATTTTTCACTTTTAACGCACATATTGTATCTAGATCAAGCATTTTAGATCCTCACCTTGCAAAGTTAACACAGTTAGTTAATTTGAAATGCCAACTGAATCTATTTCAGTGTAACCAGTCCCAACATTATGTCTTGATGCTTGCCCAGAACAGCATTTAGGATGCTTTAAGAAAACTCCCATATAATTCTGATGAACCCCAGCAGCTTCACATCCAGCTTACACCCCAGCTGTGTGGGGCACCTGGACTCTGTTCTCAAAGCCTGGATGGAGACCTCACCTTCTGCTCTATAGAAGTACCTCCATCTGAGGACAGGGAACACCAGCCCAGCCTGGTCCTGCCGGGTGGCTGCTCCAGCCATGAGGACACTCAGACAATACTGCTACTGAAGAGCCCAGGCACAGGCTTCATCGCCTGGCCTGAGAGCTTAGCACCTGACAGCACAAACAGGCTTCCTACATTCGGGCTAGGTTGAAATAAATGATTGAGTATTCCTGGAGATGAGAACTGATTTTAGTCAAGCACCAGCATCTTGCACCACATAAAAAAGAAACATTTCAAATTTACTTGAAGACTTTTCCAGTTAAAATTAATCACCTGAAATCATTTGATTTGTTTGTAAAATGAATTTGCATTTTTTAATAAAAGACTAAGACAAAGTTGCCCTCATCTCCTCAGAAGCCTCAGCACTTACTGATTTGATAGGAAACAAGGCTACCCAGAGGTTTGGTAGCTCAAGCTGTAAGTTGCCCATGGCTGGGGCAGCTGGTCTCCCTGAGCCAGGCTGAGGGAGCTTGAGCTCTGCAAGCTCCAAGCCTGTGCTCCCAAGACAGCCTGAGCCACTGGTGCGCTGGGAGGACCTTTCTCCTCCAGTCTGCTTTAGCACATGGCAGTGGTTCAACACACCTTCCCAAGGACTTCACAACAAGCTGGCCAAGTGCAGGGAGTGGAGGTGAAGCACCAACTGTCGAGTGACAGCTGCGTAAAATTAGAGGGACCTGAATTATTCTGCTAGCCAAAAAAGAAAAAAACAGCATCACTCTACAAAATATTTTTACAACTACAGAAAATGACAAACTACATATGAAATACCTGTTTGATTCTGCTTTACAGTTAGCTCCTTAAGAAGTGGCTGCCAGCACAACCCAATTCCCCAGCCCCATTTAAATGCAAACAAGGTTCCCTCCACTGGTGCTACAGCCATGCTTTTCTTACCACAAAGTGGGCATTCTGGTGACAAGTCAGCAGCCAACGTTTCAGATCAAAATCATGTGTGTTTGTAAGAAGAACTCTTTGTTTTACCCACAAGGACAACACAGGAATCTTCAAAGTGATTTAAACTGTGTGTTATCAAGACTGAAACCATAAGCAGGGCTCAGGATGAAAGATAAATGGGAAATTCTGTTAATGAGAATTCAGCGGTTCAAAAACGTTCATCCAATGCAAAGTCACAATATTGACCCTGAAGGAACATGAAGGCTACCTGGACAATCACATTATTTGGGGATTAGCCTGCGAGCAGAAAATTTCTGGCAGTATCAAATAATTAATTTGCTGTGCTCATGCACCTAAGTCATCTGAATGTCATCAGAGAATAAGACACAAGTGCAGCCAAACCCACAAGCCTAAGTATGGGCTAACTACTTGCTTTTTAAGGATTTCAGTCCTAACCAAAGCTGAAAACTTCTAAGTAGGAGATTTGGGCATCAAACCCAAGGGACACTGGAACACATTCCACTGATGATTTTTTAACCAATATGTGCTTTTAAATTGCTAAAAGCTTTTGAGATGCTCTTCCTCATAAAATCTCATTGCATCCAAGCAGAGATGGATAATTACTTCTCCAACTTCTCCACAAGTCCCACCCCAATTCAAACAGCAAGTTTCTCACTAGAAGCTCACACCTACTTCAAGCAGAGCTCATTCCCAACACTCCACAAAAAAACACCCAACTCATTCTCCAGGAAAAAAGTACATTGTCTAGGAAATCCAAGTGTGCTGATAGCTACAGTATTTGTTAAGATGGAACATGAGAGAGTACATTTTTGTTTCTGTACTGACATTTTTCTGTTCAGTGTGTTTAAGAGCTCTGCTTCTCTCATACTGTAATTCCTCCCACGAAAAACCTCTGCCAATAAATAAGTTAGCAACGAGCAAGATCAGTGGACTAAAATCCCATTAGTTGACCTAAAAGACCTCTTCATAAGTACTGCTTGCCATTTTTTCTCAACTCATCACAGAAAATTAGAGATAGTGTTGTCTGGCATTTGCTGAGGGAGAACCTCATCACTATAGTCACCACATGACAATATTGCTTTTCTGTAACTTTGGTTGTGGTTACTTTATTGGTCTTTATATTGTCTAGGTAGACTTCCTCAGAATACCTGCTGCAAGGAGAGGAATAAGTAGAACTACAAAGTTATTAAAATTTTAACAATTTTCTTAACTGCCTCTGTACAACTGAGGTCAATACCTTCTTAAAAGAATGAGCCAAAAATCTCTATGAAATGCATTTTGGCCCAGGAATTGCACAGTTCAGACTTAGAAAGGCACCTGTATATAAATGCAGCATATAGAAGTACCCCAGATGCTCAGCAGAGAGAGAAGACAATGGCTCCTGCCAGAGACATGCAGCTCCCTGCTGCAGCTTCCCCAGGGGCCTGCTGCAAAACGTGCTGGAGGGAGTGGAAAGGTCACCGTGGCTGCAAGGGGTTTGGAGGATTTAAGCCCAGTACTAACAGAATCAGGCCCTTTGTCCAGACCAAATCACAACAAGCAACGCTCATCAGCCCTTTACAAGACTCCTTCAGGAAATGTGACATGTTTAAAGCTCAGCACACACACAAGACCTTCATAGGTAAAGGCTGAAATGGAGGCAGAGATCAGCTCGAGAACACAATTTAAACAATTACTATGCACAGGTAAATTTTTAGTTTTGGTATAAATTTGACTTGGAGGGGGAAGCCCAAACCCCTGAAAACCTTGCATCCCAGTTGAGTGTGGTCCCTTGAACTTTGTGAAGAACTTTAGCAGTTCCACTTTGGGCTATATTACCACTACTTTTTTCCCCACTTAGCTTTTCTCCTTACTTTTGCAGGCTTCCATTGCTACCTTTAGGCTTTCTTGTGTTATTTTCCACCTCTGGTACTAAATTGTATTCTGTGTGCACTGTAGGACATGAAGAAAACTTGCTAGGGTAGCTGCACCCACACTGTGCCAGCGTCCTCAGGCTTCCCTTGCTTCGTGTTCTTTCCATGTCTCCTTCACACCCACAGCCCTTGCAACCCCCTCTGACCAGGGCCTCCCTCTTTCCCTTAGCTTGACTTGCAGTCTTCAGATGTGTTCTAAAAGCACTCCTCCATGTCACATTTTGCCATATTGCTCTTTCAGAGTAATAATTATAATGCACGGGCAGCCTGTCAGAGCTCTTTATGTAGGAACTGAAATGGCCCAAAGGGATTTTGAGCCTAGAAGACAATGAACTGCTGGCTCTTCAATGTCTTATGTGTTTACAGAAAACAAAAGCCATTCCTATTTCAGAGGTCAGATATCAGGTCACTTATTCACCTTATGAAATTCACTCTTGGTCCTTCTTAAACAGTAAGGCAGTACAAGATATTCTCAGCTACCAGGGATTCTAATCTTTCATGATCTTTGTCCTTGACAGAAGTCCACAAACAACCTTTATTCAAATGCTCAATTCTCTAGGAGATGTATAAAAATACTCTGAGACCTAAAGAAACATGTATCCTACTCTGATTTACAGCCTTACTAGAAGGGGAAGCAAAACAAAAAGTTAATGCTGTTACTGTATCACCAGGTCTTTAATAAAGTTAACAACTAAGTGCACTGCAAACACTCTTCCTGTTATTAAAGATAGAGCAGTACTTCTGCAAGGAAATAAGAATGTAACTCGTTAGCTATCACACCAAGAGCTGGGAGAGAGCTATCAATTTTTTTCCTCCAGACCCCTTGGAACATGCCATGCCCCTGGGCTGCTCTGGGCAGCAATACTTACATGGTGAAGCCACTGGAACAAGGATGAAACTAGATTCCTAAAGGAACAGTTCTTGTGGCCATACAGACAGACCTACTTTTGCAAGATAGTAGGTCTGAGGATGCAGCACACTAAGGGCTTTCCCGTGGTCAGGCTGGGACAGTTCTGGCTGTGTTTGGTTATGCAAGTATCAGCTGACACAGTACACTACTGAATTAACAGTGAGAGGAGGGCACACACAGAGCTTCTGTGCTTTGTCCCAGCGTAGGTAGCATCAGGCTACCTGGGGCCTCTCTTGAAGTCACAGGTGCTGGATGACAGGCTGGAAAGACTTTTTTTTTCCCCAGAGGCACCTGGCAATGCATGTGCCTCCCTTAAGAGCCTGCTGGACCTGGCTAGAGGCTGCTTAGCAGCCAGGCTGCTAGGAGACTGCTCAAAATGCTCCTGTGCTTGTGTTCACCCTGTTAGAAAGTAATACACAAACTTTAGAGCAATAATCAAGTTGCTGTGATTTCAACAACACTTATCACAGGGTTTTTCCTTAGGAGATTTAGAAGCACTGTGTTGTACAAATGAATACACCAATATGATCCTCTACAACTCTTCATCCAGGGGCATTTTCTTTTCCAGAACACATGATACTTTTATTCTCTCTTTTTTGTAGGCAGAAGAAACATGCTGCCCCATGAGAAGTGCCTCAGAAAAGCAGAGAAGAGACCTGCAGAAGGTTTGTTCTCTCTGATTAGTTACACAGTGATTTTTAGCAG